AACTCAGAGAGTGTGTTTCACACAGTGGTGGTGCAGGCATAAATGCTTTGTTTTAAAAAGTTTTCCTTCCATAGAACTTGTGGGATAAAGGGATACTTGTTAATTTTGAAATACTAGCACATTTAAAATTTTTTTTTTCCAGTGTTCCCATAATGAGGGTGTTTAAGTGATTATGTTTAACTAAATCTTACCTTAAATTAGTTTATTTTCAGAAACCTTAATCGAATGGAGTGCTTGAATTTTATTTAGACAGTGGATTTCTTAACTACTATATTTTATCTGTGCTAAGATGCAACTTTATTTTTCACATTTTATTATCTCTGAATGGGAATATATCTTACAACTGAAAGGATATTTAGATGGATAGATGGATGGGATGGATGGATTTCGTTTGATATAGTGTCCATCAGGCTAATATTCAGCCAGTAAATAGTGGTATAACGTACCAACTAGCCTTTGCCCTTTCTGATTGTTCAGTGCCCCTGTTGAATATCAGAAAATGTTTTTTTCTCTCTCACTTTCTAAATAAATATCTATTTTTAGATTGGATGCTTTCTTAGGCTTTACAGCCTCCATACCAAACTTCAATCAGTGAATTCCGAGACTCAGTCAACATTTTTATGCCTAGAGTTTCATCTCCATGGAGGTACCAGTTACGGTCGGGGAATCAGGGTCTTGCCAGAAAGTAACTCTGATGTGGATCAGCTGAAAAAGTAAGCATATTATATACCTGTTTAGAAAATGTAAATAAGATATTCGTTAAGCTGGTTTCCAGGAAAATACTTTTCCTGGGTCGGGGGTGGGGGGCGAGGATCTGATAGGTGTCTTGTATTTGATCCTTATATACCCTTCTGTGCTGATATTCCTATTTTTTAAGAGATGTGGTAGATAAAACAAATCAAGTGACTATTGTTTCAGATAGCAAATTAGTAGTAGAGCCAAGATTATAGTCTTAATTTTCTAGCAGTTAATGCCCGCTCTTTGCACTCATGCTTTTTATATCTTCTACCCTTTGCCGCACTCTCCAAGTCCAGCAACAAATGGTGGAAACTGGAGCTTAGCTAAAGTGTGGAAAACTTGATACATATTTAGGATTCCAAAAATACTTCATCCTTCCATGAAAAAATGTCTTTCCAAAGTGCCTACAACAGAATAGTTAGGTAATAAGTGTTTTAGTGTATCATATTTTTCAGACTTTCAGATGTGCCCGGAAAGTCAAATAGTATCTTAAGCCCTACTGTAGATACACTTCTCTTTTTCTAGAAGTATTCCTAGTGAACACTGTGTACAGAACTTTTTGACCAGCTTTCTAGAGAAATAAAAATAAATCTTCTGTATACCTTCAAAGAGATATAGAAAATATATTGTTTAGTAAATTGAATTGAAACAGTACGCTTTGATTTATTGAAGT